CATATCTGAAGACGTCAAGATTCCAGAATTGATTAAAAAAAGAAAATATTTGATGGTAATAGGTATAAACACTGCTTTTAGCAGCCGAAAGAGGCGAGATTCTGTACGTGCTACTTGGATGCTGCAAGGTGCGTAAAACTTCAGTACTTCCGTCTCCTCTAGGTTTTTTATTCTCTGCTTACCGTATTGATTTCATATATTTATTCGTTGGACAAATCAGGGGATAAGCGCAAAAAGCTCGAGGAAGAAAAGGGCATTATAATTCGCTTCGTGATTGGACACAGGTGGGATGCAGATATTTGGAGTTCATGTTAACTGTCACTTTATACATATGGCATTTTCCCTTCAAAATATTTGTTAACTATGTCCTTTGCACGAGATAATTTTGTATTAATGTTGACTGTCAGTTGACTGAGATCCTTCACTTATGCAATTCCTCGACGTGAAGTATATGTCTAGCATATTTGTTGGTTGGTTTTGGTACCTTTTCTTTTCTTCGTGTCATTTTTTTAAGGAACCGATTCTACTTCCGGATGGATTGCATACATAGAGCACGCTGTTGTAACGGAATTAAATTACCTCAGGGGCTTAGAGGAGCATTTTGACGAGTGTGACCTTTTATTTCACAGCATTTGATCAGAATGAACATTCATCTTAATTTTCTTTAGGGGTCATGCCAATTTCACGTACATCTTAACAAGGAACAGTAGCTAATTTTTCCTTCATTTCAATTTGAATCTCTGGTCACCAGTGCAACATCAGGTGGCATTCTTGATAGAGCTATTGAAGCAGAAGATAGGAAACACGGAGACCTTTTAAGACTGGTATTTTCATTACTTCTGGTTTAACTTGCCATTTTTGTTAATCTTCTGTGAAAGTCTGATGAGAATAGAGGTCCCGAATCTTCACGCACTATCCTATTTGGAAAGCCTACATGTGTTTACATTAATCTCCTCTACCCAAATGTTGCGTGGTAATATTAAAAAAAATACAACAAAGTGTGTCCTGTCTTATTAATACTTTATTGTCTAGGAACATGTTGAGGGATACCTGGAACTATCTGCCAAGACAAAGGCCTATTTTACTACTGCAGTTGCTCTTTGGGATGCGGATTTCTATGTCAAAGTTGATGATGACGTACATGTAAATATAGGTAAATGCTAGCATTGTTCCTTTCATGTTATCTTGTTTATAGTTAGATTTTAATCTTTCAGAAATTCCATCTAAGATATTTTCTCTTTTTTACTTTGCTTTTATCTTTATGGTGCTTTTTGCTTGCTTGTTGTCAAAGAAATCGCCGAGCAGGCCATTACATTTCTCTCTTTTTTGTTGTCAGTTTAGCTGTATTTGCCCTGTAGATTTTTTTTAACATGGTACCACACATCAACCATGTATTTTTCTCCTTGTTTCAATCACCAAAGGGGAGCAAAAGTTTTTTTTTTGTAGTCTGCTGAGTACATGCTTCTCAGTGCACTCACTTAAAAATTTGTGGAAATGAACTGTAGCAACACTAGGAGCAACTCTAGCTCGGCATCGCACGAAACCAAGAGTGTATATTGGATGCATGAAATCTGGTCCTGTACTTGCTCAAAAGTAAGTAAAAACTTCCTAAAAGTTCGTCTCTTTGTAGATACCAAGGAGATGCAATTCACCTTCTATTTCTTTCTTGGCCAATCCATTAACAGGGGTGTAAGATATCACGAACCAGAGTATTGGAAATTTGGCGAGCAAGGAAATAAATATTTTCGTCATGCTACAGGGCAATTATATGCCATTTCAAAAGATTTGGCTACTTATATATCAATAAACCAGTGAGTGTTTGTTTTTCTGGGATTTTTATTTCTTTTCTATGCTTCCTGTTACTGTCTTATTGATTTGTAAATTATCTTAGGCACCTTCTGCACAAGTACGCAAATGAGGATGTTTCGCTAGGATCTTGGTTCATCGGATTGGACGTGGAGCATATAGATGACAGGAGATTATGTTGTGGAACACCCCCTGGTAAAATTTAACTTTCTCTAACCCTCCCTCCCCCCCACCCCCACCCCAAAAAGGAAAAGAATGAAATGAGA